TGGCCCGAGCAGCGGGCTTGGACCGTAACATTTGCAAAAGTGACTGCTGTCCGGATTTAGGCCACTTTAAACGACTTTAAAAGCGATCTTTAAGCAGTTCTGGCGGCTTAACTTTACCAGATAAGAAAATTTGGACGGTAGGGCAGGGTCAATTTTTGATAGCTGTCCGACTTTAGACGTTAGATCGAAAAAAATATTTTCAGAGAGTGGTAGGTGCGTCTCGACGCGAGGCTTCTAGAATCCCCAGCGATTTTTCATATTTCAAAAATTACAGGAGATCGTCCTAATTTAGTGACTCTGATTGTACTTTTTATTGTGTACATTTTTGTATGAAACCTATGAGTCGTAGCATTGCTCTAGAGTAGTTCTGAAAAGCGTGCCTTAAACCCTGCTACGTTTGTACTGCGGTTAGCGTAAATATCATTTGTTGCAGATACAATGTCTTATGTTCAGTGTGCGAGTACTCCGTAAACGATTTGCCGTCCTAGGAATATTTTCCGTTGATTCAACCCTTCTAAAAACGGTAGGACTAACATAAGTTTTAGAATGAATTGTAGTGTACTCATAGAGGTCTGTTAACATTGTTCGATTTAAAATCGAATCGCGAGGCACATTACGACCGCAACAATTACGCACAAACATTGATTTGTAGTAAATAAAATGTCTAAATTTGTTGTCGAAAAGGGGATCACGCTAGCCGTTTAACATAGTGTGACCGTGACCCTTCCTTTCCTGCTCTCATTTTGTCGGAACCTGCCGGACAGCCCTTAGATTTAAAGTGAGAGATGATTAATTCAATTTGCAGTAGTTCATTTTTTACCGGATCATTTCTAAATTTTCTCAAATTCTCAATTCGCTGTTGATATTGCATTTCGAATCAGGAAAGATAACATTTGCGTTATCTCAAAAATGGACTCGACTACATCTAATTCGCACACCTCTATATACAGTGTACTAGGAAAAACACCATAGTATATCTTCTTCAATAGCTCGTACATATGAAATTTCGTTCTTTTTCATCATCTAGGTCTTGGGCGCAATTCTTACCCATGTCGTGGTGCTTCACCAGTTTGGCGCTGTGTTCTCACAGCATTTTGAATCGGAACAAATTACCAATTCATATGTGGTAAACTAGTACGTCTCAACATAAGTATGATATCAGCTGTTTGACTGCCATCGACACTATACACACGATGCGGCGACTCCGTCAGGGAGCTCGTTCAGTCCCGGAGTTCACCAGGTCATCGTACAGCGTCGTCACAAAGTTTGATGTGTGTACGATGAGAAAATACAAAACAGATTTTTTGAATGGTTTACGTGCTTTCAGACGTACTTGCAACACGTAAATCATTCAAAAAATCAGTTTCTTTTCTTTTTATTGTACACGCATCAAACTTTGCAGGACGAGTTCCGCAGCTATAAAACTAAGAGAAACACATTAAATTTGACCAACTGACAATTTGATCAGTTGTTACAAAGCTCTAAAGTAGCGAGGTGGGCGCAGCAGCAACCACGCTAACTTTGAGGGACTTCTTCAAA